ACTTCATCTCAGATACTTTTGCAAGCTGTTCTAGGAAAGATGTCCTTGGAAAAAGACATCATGCTAGGAAATGCAGAGGCACAGAGAAAGAACACCTTAAACTAGATGGCTTTCACACTGACTACAACAGTGGGTTTGAGTGCAGGATAGGGTAAGGCTCTGCTGTACACACGGTTGCTCTGAGGGGTAGTGAATCAGAGGGCACCTAATAAGGAGAGCAAGTGTATGAGAAACCCTGGGAAGAGATGATCTAGTGTTGATAAACCAGGTACGTGGATTTTCTGCTGGACCCTATTTTCATGCAGCAGGCAGAAGAAACTCTCAGAAGTGACTATGGCCTTGGCCAGGGGATCTTTTGGCATTGCTTTCTTTACTCATGAAGGCTAGCTTTGTTGACAGAAGTCTTACATTGGCGAGGAGTGTTTGCATGAGGTTAAGGTGCCCGACAGCATGTGCTTTGGACTTAGGCCAACACACAGCATTGCTGACTATGCAACTGTGGGCTAATTCTTAATCTGCTCATTTCCTCTTCTGTAAAAGGGAGCCACAATCACCTACCTTGCTGAATTATAGTCAAGACAATGCTTATAAAGCAGAATGGTCCCAACACACACTATGTGGACAATCTTGACTCTAAGCTTTCAGGCTAAACTGTCTGTTCCTCTACTATCTGAGAGTATAATATGTTCTGGTTTGGCAAATGCTGAATTAACCCAGAAAGGACAAAAGACTAAATGACACTTTAGGTAACATCATCTATGATTCCACATTGAAGATGCCTTCAATACATATCAATTTCTAACAAAATCAGATTCTCCAACAGGACTGCATGTTAGCCTAAATAGCAACACCTTCAATAATCCCAGAAAGTACAGAAGAGATACCAGAACCTTGAAATCATGGCAACTTGAGATGTTGTAGATTTGATTCAGAATACAGTGTACTTTTTAATTTTTTAAATAATTTTAATGAACATTTACAGAGAATTTGGATTTCCATTCATTCACTGCTGCACTTCTTTCCCCGCCCAGCCCTCTCCCCCCGCCCCCCAGTTCGCTCCTCTCTTTCAAAAGTAAAAGAAAGACTCCCTCCCTGGTACACAATCCCCCCGCACCCCTCCCACCGCCCCAAGTACATGTCACTATGCAACCTTAGTTATGGACTCTTGTGATAACATAATACCCTATCATACATCGCTTTTATTCAGTCCCTCATCTGTTTCAGTGCAGTATACACAATTTATCCAGTTTTTCTCAGTCTTACCCCCACCCTGGTATCAGTCCCATTTTACAGCAGTGGCACCATGCAATATTTGTCCTTTTGCGACTGAGATATTTCACTCAGCATAATGTCCTCCAGGCTCACCCATTTTGAATAATATTGAATGAGTTCCTTGTTTTTCAATGCAGCATAGTATTCCATTGTGTGAATATACCACAGCTTCTCTACCCATTCGTTTGTTGATGGGCACCTGGGTTGTTTCCAACTCCTTGCTATTGTGAACAGAGCTGCGATAAACATGGGTGTGCATATATCTGCTTGGATGTCAGTTATGGTCTCTCTGGGATATATTCCCAGTAGTGGAATTGCTTGGTCAAATGGTATCTCTATTTGCAACTTTTTGAGACAACGCCATGCTGCCTTCCACAGTGGTTGCACCATTTTACATTCCCACCAACAGTAAGGGTTCCAGTTTCTCCACAACCTCGCCAGCATTTGTTGCTTGCTGTTCTGTTAAATTTTGCTATTCTGACTGGGGTGAGATGGTATCTCATAGTTATTTTGATTTGCATCTCTCTTAGAGCTAGGGATTTTGAACATTTCTTCATGTGCCTGTTGGCCATCTGAATGTCTTCTAGAATCCAGTGTACTTTTATTTAGTGGCTGAAGTCAAGCCCTTGGCTCTAACAGCAAGTGTACAAAGGCCTGCAGCTTAGGCAAGGCCAACACAGTAGGTACTTGCTGACGTGTCTTTCCCATGAATGTACACTTTGTTCTCATCAGAACAGCAGTGCAGTGAGGCGACGTATGTGGGCATTTCACACTGTCAAGGAAACAGGTGGAGTGGTATCCACTTTTGCAATCTGAGAATCTGAATTTTAATCCTCCCTATCATCATTTACTAACTCTCTGGTCTTGCCAACATTATCGTTTGAGCCTCAGTGTCTAACAAGATGTTTCGAAAAAGCTCAGTTTGAGGTTCCAAATATCAAGCAAAAGACAGCCATACTAGTATATGCTTATTGCGTATGTGCTTCTTCCTTTGCCCATGGGGTTCTTTCCCTCTAAACTTCCCCATCTCTGACCTAATATGCTACAGACAGAAAATCAACATCTTTAAGATTTCTGCCCTGCATCCCAGGCCAGGAATCAGTTTTTGCCCAGTTCCCATCCTGGCACAAAGGAGAAAGGGAAAAAAAAAAAAAGACAATCATCCAGAGGGTTTTTTTGTTGTTGGGTAGCTTTTTTTATTTATTATTTAGACATGGATTTTTTTTCTTCCTTTTCATATAACTTATCTAATTAAAATAGTCATCTTGGTAGTTACCACAAAAAAGTAACATAGAAAATTGTATTTACATTTTGGGACCAAAATACAAATGAAGAGCAGGGTGGCACCTTGCTCCTTTCTCCCCGCTTCCCAGAAAGAAAAAGCCCCAAAGAAGCAATTCATTACACCAAGGATCACAAAGGGCTGATCTGTCATTTGGTGATTTGGATGTAGTGTAGCACAGAAAAACTGTACAAGTTTTCACAAATGAGACCAAAAGTTCAACATCAACCTGTGTCAGTCCTGCAGCCAATTCAATAAGCTCGGCGAGGAGTCCATACACAAATTGGGTTTTCCCTCTTCCCGCCACACTCTTCTCAGAAAGTCATATCCCTGACGCAGACACTCATGCAGGGAGTGGGGGAGCAGAAGAGAAAAACCGGCTCTGTGCAAACAGGAGTGATAAAAAAACCCCTCCATGTGCCAAAAATAGATGCTGATGTTGGGATGTCCTTCCCTCCCTGCTTAAAGATTCCTAATGAAGGAAAATGAAGTTATTCACAACTGAATCTGAAATGTGGAAAACAGGTTTTGATGACAAAGACTTGAACATACAGATAAGAAATAAATTCAAGACTGGAGCACACCTGGAGGAAACTTATTCAAGGCAATAGATGTCTGCACTTGTCCAAAGTAGGCTAATTGGTTTTAGGGCACAGGATATAGGACAAGGGTGGAAGAGTAATATAAGCCATCAAAAGAAATAATGCTTTTACCAATTCATAAATGCAATAAATTAAAATGTAGCTATCTGTGTCCCACTGCAGCAGGCACTTTGCATGTGGATGAACGTGGACAGCCTGGATGGAGCTCTGCAGCCCTTCAGACACGTGTTGCATAGAAGAGTCCCTACTCAGCCTGGACTCTTCCAGGTTTGCCCAGCTGAGGCCTCCAAGATAGTTAAAGGGTGGGGGCAGATCTTGCTCTGGACTTTGAGAAAACTAGCTGAAGGGAGTGACTGCACAGCTCCCTGGGCTTCCACAGTCACCACTTGAACCTGTTTCTCAGGTGTCTTAACAACAGGCATCTCTGATTTATAGCATTTATTCCAACTTGGGTCAAAACTATGGACTCTAGCTAGAGCTATATCCTTGGAGGGGGCACAGGCACTGACCTTGTCCTAGTATCACTCCTGTGTCAGTTGGAAAGTGAGAATCTCTCTTCCTAAATTTGATGCCCTTGCAGTTTCCATCTAGCTAGCCTGCTGCAGCTTGCTTTCCTGACATGAGCTCTTCCTTTCAAATTCTGGCTTAAATGCTCAAAGGGTAGCTAGAGCTTCAGCTTTCTAAAAAATATAGCAAACTGTTGTGTTCTTTCTAATCACATGATCTCACCTCCCTTCTTTTTTTTTTTTCCCAAAAAAAGGGGGGAGGGCAAAACCAATTTCCAACAAAGCATTATAATTTTAAAAACCATTTGCTTCTGATAGCAATTAAATCACAGGGTACTAGAGAGTAAAGTGCAGACTTTTAAAATCCTAACGTCTCATTTGGGGCCACAAAACGCTTTGCTATTGTGTCTCGGGGTTTTTTCATTTGTTTTTGCCCTCATGCTAGTAGAGAGAAGAAAAACAATGGGGGTGGGGGTGGGAAACAAGAGCTAAAACTTTGAGGCAAAACTGGAAATCGTACTAATTCTGGGATTCTGTGCAAAAACCAATCTCCCACAGGTTCTGTATTCTCCAGTGAGCCTCAAAAAAAAAAAAGGTAGTGACTCGACAAGGATGGCAGAAAAAGTGTCAACTTGTATAACAAACCTCCCTTAATAAATACTAATTGATGGGTAAAATGATGCACCTGGATAGAAACACAAAGCAACACTGAGAAGGGCCTCTGAGGCACGGAGTCGAACATCTGTTCCCCTCCAGGGCAGCCTGGACCCCGTCTCTGCCCGAGTGTGGCAGGCGCATGCAGGCCCTGGGGACACCCTGCTCTCCCGATGGACCAGAATCACTCAGGAGAGCCAAGCTCAGACAGAGAAATGGCTTTTACTAGGCCTCTGTCCTAAATTTAATAAAGGACTTGGAAAGTAAAAAGCTAAATGTGTAGTAGAGGACCGAGGCGGGGAAAATACTGGGGGTAATATAAATACAATCTGGGGACAATATTTATTAATTAAAACTATGTCTTATACTTTACAAAGAGGCTAGTTAACAACAAAAGTATAATTGACCTTAAAATCCTCAGCAATGCTGAGGCTTCGCATCTTCTTCAGAATTCTGAAGTGTTTTCCAGGCAGGGAG